TGCTGAGGTTCTTCTATTTTGTCAAGAGCGTTTCAGCTCGGCGCTTGAATTCAGTTGAGGACACTTCCACTCGATGCACGCCTTTGCTGATCAATTTATTCAGATTTATCTTCATCTGCCTTAGCCACTGACGCCCAAACATTTCCTTAGGGAAATTCGGATCGTCGATGAGATATAGGCGAAGTTTCTCTGAAGAGGTCACAGGTGTAGCATGATCCGGGCGAATTTTCCGCTTGGAGTCTGAAGAAATCGTCGGCGCACTTTTAGGGGTGCTTGAGCTTCGTAACGGTTTCTCCATGTCGAAAACGACCCAGCAGGTTCCGGATATTGTCCTGAGTAGATGGCTTGGTGAATGCGGGACATATCTGGGAATTATGAGCTTGGGAAAATCAGTGAGGCAGTTATTTCTTGAGAAGGTTGGTAAATCCAGTAGTCGTTGTCTTTTGTATAGTCCGAAAGTATATGAAGTTTCTCGAAGACTTACTTACCTAATTGTCGAAAACCGTAAGAATAGGAAGACAGGAGAGGGATCACGATCACGAGACAACGATAGTTCACAGATTTACACGCATTCGAAGTGTTCGATCGGACTGTTGAAATTCGTTGGTGGAAGTCAACGGATATCGGTGTTTTGTATTGTAATCGAGAGTGAGAATCCAAAATACACAGGATGGTAGGATTCATCATTTATTCGTGCATGCAGAAGTCAGGGAGCCGTCTTCGTGATTAGATAAGCCTGGGGAGACCGGCCTACGGCCGGAAACTCGTCGAGGACGTTCAGTCCGCCGCGGACGTCTGAGCTTTGGCATGAACGAATCCGGAAACTCTCTAACACTCCTGAACACTCCCGAACAGCGTAAATTTGAGAAGCCCGCCCTAAGCCTCGAGTGCGGCGGTTCTCCGCCATCTTGAATGACGTCATGTGATCGCCACAACGCCTACGGAGGAAAAACTTGGAGTTTTGTGCGTTTTTCCGAAGAACGGCCCGCAGGAATGGTGGGAAATTCACATGGGCAAAGAACGAAGGAGTTCCGTATCGATTGCGCGCATAATCAGACGGGAACCATGGCGCGAAGCAGTAGATAAGGTGCGAACTGACAGACAGGCAGACATTGCGCTTTTATTATAGGGGGGTATAGGGGGGGATCGGTAACACGCTGGACCTTTGGTGGATGCGCCCCGGCATGCTTCAATTTCGGCATCTTCCGGAATTTCAATGATCGGTTCTTCATGAAATTAAGGTTTTCTCTCTATCCCGTAGTCGAATTCGCAGCGAGTGTTTCCCGCGACATCATGATGTCGTTTGCGAAGAGTACCGCCTCATCCAACTTTGTGAATCTTGCACTTTTGATGAGAACAGTTTGCTTTACGCCCTTGTCCTCCAATCCGACGATGAGCTGCTCAATGAGATTTATTATAGCTGCAATTCAGCATCTCTCCATGAACAATCTGTACAACCCTTCCGAAGACGGGCTTCGAAATCCAACATTCGCTCACCGGTGTTCTGAACGATTCAGCGGAACGTCATTCTCGAAGCAACGACATTCCTCTGAGGTTCGAAGATTTGCGTTCTTCGTTGGTGAGATCTTTCGGTTTTCTGTCCGGTTGGAGCTTGTCATGAAGTTTCCTGTACGCGATGTGTCCCATGTAAGCAATTATGGCACACACTTTTTCGGATGGTTCGTTGCATTTCTGAAGTATTAGATGACTTTCTAATCTTGATGTCCATGTTGGCCATGATTCGTCGTCCGGTTTGAATGCAGGGGATACTTGAAAAACCCTACTTCGATCTTCTGTTCCCGTCGCACGCTGTGGGTTCATCGTATCTGTCGGACTCCTTAAAGCGAATTTTTCGATGTTCAGATAGAAAAAAATCGGTGTCAGGCAGCTAACACACTAGGAGATGTGAGTTCTTCTGGATTTTCACCCTCGTCGCCAGTTGTTACATTTTACTCCTAGTATACGCTGTTTCTGGAGAGCGTGCTTAATTTCGAAAGTTCAACACAACGATTATCGTCCTTCTCAATCTCTTCGATTTTCATCGGTGTCATTCTCAACTTCAAAAAAAATCTTCATGGGCAGCTATTTTTTCAGGAAGCGAAGCGCTTTCCGATTGGGGTCCCCAATGTCCATCTGTTTCTGAACGTTGGGAATCTCGGAATGAATTCACAAGGCCAGACAGACACTCCGTGAATTGGCCGCGCTTGTGGCCCGCAGTTTTAGGAGTTGTCGAAAGCTGCTCCGACAGGATGTAACCGTCCCGTTGCCCCTTCTAAAGTCGTGGTATGGTAGCCTACGAAACTTAAGGAAGGAGTCCATCTCGGCAGCTCCACGAGATGCGTATTTGAGTAGTTCGTCGAATTCGTGAACGCACAAAGAATTTTGTGGTTTTGAAATTCAGGGCTCGAGGTCGCCCTTGGTTCGGACGGAGAGTCTTGGATGGATCTTTTTCGCCAATGGAATCTCAATCACGAGTTTCCATCGATCAGCTTTCATTAGCAGACTCGGGGCAGACGTGATGCGGTATTTCCGGTAGCTGAGAAACCTCGGTAAGGGGTTTTGTTTAGCACTGCCACGGGATCTTCCACAGCTAAGGTGATTTCACACACTCTCCATCGCCGGCGCGAGATTTCCGGAGAGTTCTTTGATGATAGATGAGGGGCAGTAACCCTCTTAGGGCTGAAGAACCGTTGAAGACATCTTCCAGGGTGTGCGGCGCGCCATCGATACTAAACGAATAGAAGGTCTCAAGGCTGCCGGATTAAGGAGCAATATTGAGAAGGCAACATAAAGTACTTATCTCCCGATCGAGATAACGGGCGGAGAGCCGCTCTCGCTGATTTATACGCTCGATTTATTTCCTTCAGTCCAGCATGAGCATCCATCAAATGGCAGACTGACTTCAAGGTCAGATAAGAACTCAGCTCCATGAGTCTCCCGGAAGCACTCACTATGGGAGCGAACGTCGCGTCGATCGTTACGCCTGAAAGATCCAGCAGCCAGTCGGAATCGAATTGAGTATTCCGCTCGCGACTAGGTGCTGCGATCGAGTTCCGTCTTGACATGCCTTATTCGTGATCTTCGCTGGCGTTCGATTTAGGGGGATCCAACACGGAATACGGTCGATCCGGCTCCTGTGTTAGCTAGCATCCGACTCGATCAGTCGAGAGTCTTCAGAACGATTCCACATTTCCATGAACCCGCTGCGCGTCGTGAAGACCTTCGAGCAAGCATCGTGCTCTCAGTGTTCTGCGATAACCCTCGATGGGAGTCTCACTCTGTTAATAGACGTTACACGAATCAGTCGCTACGACCTTACCAAGGCAAACATTCCAAATAAATTGAGCCGCCGAGGATTTCTCACCCTCGCCCTGACGGGATGTTCTTTCTTCCTCCGAGGAGCCTCTCCGTCGGTTGCGGTTGCGTGCTCTCAAAAACACTAAGAGGAGCATCGGTGATCGCGGTTGGGAGTAAAAGGAGCCGCATCCAATAAATCTCAGTGAGTGACCAATTTCAGATCCAGACGGAGCAATCTGCCATCGAACATACCAAGTTTCTCATTCCTGCACTCGCATTGTTACGTTAACTGATCTGATCGATCATTGAAAACTGATTGTTGTTGAACACTGGCTTTCGTCGTATCGAAGAGCGCGCCACCTCTCTCAGCGCGGTGACACAGGGGGGACGGATAAAGTCTGGGCTCCGGGTCATACTCCAAAGGGGTTGTCGGCCGGATGTCATCGATCGATGGTCGATGGTATATTAGTACTCGGCGGAGGTGTTCTGTTCAACGAGACTGCTCGCCGACCTTGCTTCCCTTTCCGTCATCGGTGCGTTCCGCTTTTCGATTTATGTTGCGGGTCCCCTCCAGGCAGGAATCCCGCATTACTGGCAGGATTCACGTGAACTGGTAACCAGAGGAAGCATCTTGACAAGCTCAGTTCGCTCCATCCTCTGGTCACTTAACAGAACTCGGGAGCGTTAGCTCGGTCTAGGCAATCCGGTCACACGGAAGCTTCCAATTTCACCCTTTTCCAGCACTGGTGAAGCGACAGTGTGTCTAATCAAGCATCGTAAGCGCTGTCCTCCGCTGGACTTTCGGAGGCAGCGAATCGAATGGCCCTCAGGATGTTCCCCAACATTGAATCAAAGATAAACGAATTCGAGCGGTCATTCTTCTCGAATCCACATCGAATTAAGATCTGAGAGTGCTCGTATTCTGTCTCATCTTCCGATTCCGGCCCGTGTTCGCGGAACTTGAAGTCGGAGGCATATCCGAAAGGCGTGCCCAGAGCTCTTGGTCTAGGGTCTCTACCTCTCAAGACCTGTCTCCGTCACCATTATGAAACAAACGGATTGCGTCGTGTGTCATCCAGAAGGCGATCTTCATCAGCGTCGGAGTCGTTGAGAAACGCCAAATCCGGGAACCGATCAGTTCATGACGTTTCCCCGAGGTCAGTAAGCGTACTCGGTGCGGCATGGAGGAATTACGAAACCAGAGAAAATTGAAATTGTCTCATCCTCCGCGCCCGCCGTGACACGCGCCCCTTCATTCGCGTGATGATCAAGATCGACAGCGGAACGACGCTCGGGATCTCCAGCGATGCCGTTCAGCTGAGAAATTACCCAAGGGTCGAGTTACACCGGCTTGGATTCAAGACGATACATTATTGTTGGAGAGCACTCGGTTAGATATCCAGAGACCCGCGATGGGCACCCGTGGCATCTGGGTATATGCTATAGATCTAGAAATGGAATTGCAGCAATGGTGACAGGGTATGCTCCCTCAGAAGTTTTTTCGGCTGTCAGTATAGATCGTCACAGAGGCAGCGCGGCTTCCCTCAAGCGAACGGATGATCGACGCGACGGCCTATCGAGTCGGTTTCATGCATTATGAGGAGCAAGGAGATGCGAGCCTTGTAGAAGAGTTGGCTCTTCAGGGAAGGTTGATCCTCCCGCCGATTTGCCCTGATGAGAATCTTTCGATCTTCCAGGTCGTGATGGGCGTGGTTGAGTCACTTCTGTGCCTCGTCTACAGGATTTACTTCTATTTTCGGAAACCTGTGCCGACGAGTCGCTTCGGCTGCTTGTACGACTTGACATCCTCGTCCCCCTTCAAAAACGAAACCATCTTCGCCGACGAAGAGAAACGCCATGAATATCCTCAAGCATTTGATGATCGGGTTCAGATATTCGGGCAAAACAATAAGGGCCAACTTATGCTGGCCGGAATCCAGAGACTGAAAAACGGTATGCAATAATGTTCGACGCCCACCTATGACAGGAAGCCGTTGGTCGACCGAGGATAGGCCGGTTCGACGCATCATAATTTTACGCTCAGCTGTTTCTCCCGGTCGATGGTTCCCGTTGTCCATGTTCTAGGAACACATTAACCCAAGGAGGATCTCTCTCCGTCGTTCTCAGATCGCGCATTGGTCTTGCTGTACATCAGACTGGAGGGCGGCACGTCGTTTTCTCTGGAAGACTCGGTCTGCGTGGATTCGTCTTTCGATGACCACTTCGCCGCTGGAGGGCTCAAGATGACTTGCCTGATTCCGATGCGTCGGTGGAAAATGTCTTTCAATGGAACTATGAGGAACAATTCCACAGGAGACTTGGTCCATCTGAAGCTTGTTTCAGTGTGAGGGGAAAAATTCTTCATTGTCCCGCTCTGTCTGTATATGTACATAGATTTTCTCCCGATTGGCAATCATTCCGTGCGGCAAGTCGAGCGACCGAAAACGATATCGATTTCAGGGGGAACCTCATGCACGGTGTCGCGGACTTCCAGAGCTACCACGATGGCTCGTTCTTGGCCGAACAATTATCTAGGAGACTTCGTTCCAGAGACTTCCAGCCGAAAAGGATTCAAGACGCCCTAAAGGACCTTGACATCTATCATCAGAGATTCTCTTTTTCCTCGAAGGTCTTCGTGGATGGACTTCCAGAGGAGCTCTTCCTGTTTGGCTATAAGACGAAGGGCAAGTCTTCGTCTCCACGGATCAAGAAATCCGTCATAGCCTTCACCGAAGTGAGTCTTGCAACTTTACCATCGAAGAGATTCACAAGAGCGGATCTTGTCTTTCTTGATGGATTTGTTCCTCGTTGGACCTATCGAAGCTCTGATCAATGTGATGAGTCCTGACTGCTCAAGCGGCAAAGCTTTTTCCCAGAACGGACTGTCGACTGTCCTGGGTGTGACCGACCTCCGGAACGTGATGGACGACTTTTTGTACGGCTACTTGAACTTTCCGAACAGACAGCAGAGGAAACTTCGCTTCGCTTCCGATGTTGGGGAATTTTTCCTCCCGGGAAAAATTTACCTGTCGGTTGGCGCAGGTCAGTGCTTCCAGGACTTCGATCCACCTTCCTTATTGGATCCTTGACGATAGTTGGATCTGTCGATCTCCGCCTTCATAAAAGTGATTCAACGAAACCTACCACCCTCCGACAGAAAATTGGGAGTCGCTCCGACTGGCCGAGCTTAGGATAATCGATGATATTCAAAGTCTTGAGCTCCATGGAGACCGCATATGGAGAAGGAATTTTCGAATATCTCAGATAAGTTTCGATGGTCATTCGGGCCATGCTCTCATATCCGAAGCAACCGGGTGAGTTTGGAGGAACATATTCGTCTTCTGTATTTAAATCACAATGCGCTCCAAGTTGCTCTTCCATCAGACACATCATATTGTCACGGCGCGGTGCATCAGAAGTCACCGTCAAATTATGAATCAAACATTGGAAAAGCACAACGGTCATAAGGAAGCCGCTCTCGTCCCTTGTAGGATTGAAGCGAATGTCCAGTTTCCAGAGCTTCCCTTTAGCAAGATATTGTCAGCGCACCCTACCCCATCGAAGGACCCGTCCCAAGTCGGAGTCATTCCTTTCACCCATCCCGCAGCATGCAATGAGAGCTTGACGGGGGGCAAAGGGAGCTCGCTGGCGATCCTGACCCGACTGGCCGAGAAGAACAAAGAATTGGTGAGCATAACTGGCGAATCCATTCCTGAGGCAATGGATCCGCTAGCAGGGCAGGCTAGTTGGGAGAGGTCTCGGAAGCTCTCTGGGGATTAGCGAGAATCTCTGCGAGCATTTTCCCGCCGCATACCTCGAGGGCAAGAGTTTCCTTGCTCCTCGACGCAATGTTTGCCAATGCAGAACACACACGACGAGCCATGAAGAATTGTAGATGGGGATCTTCTTCTGTGTTCACGTCACGGAAGATTTGTTCATTCGAAGGGTTTCGGAAATTCGAAGATTCTTGAGTTTACTCGGGGGAGGTTCGTCTCGAAGAACTATTCAGGGGTTGTATGTGTTCCAGTTCAAAGTCCCGCGAGGAGTTTGCGTGACGACGGAAGCCTACAAGGACTTCGTATCGATTCCGCTCGTAAGCGAAACCCTCGATGGACTCCAAGTCGTCTGTTCACGAGCTTCCTTGAAGGAAATCCGAGAAGCTTGCGACAAGTGAGTTCATAGGGAGTGCAGATCAGAATATTTTTCTCCACGAGGTGGCCTCTCAACGGAATGATTGATTAGGATAAGTTTCGTATCGTTTAAGAGCTCGATAATAAATGTACATATGTGAGAGTACAAGGTCCCACATGAAAGCCCATAGAGGGGCGTTGGAGAGCGTAAAATCCAATCAGGCGATTCCCGTCTCCTTTTCAGAGCAGCGAGCATGATCAGCGATGCACCCTTGCCATCGCAGCTCGAGAACCTTCTAAAAAAGGTCCTTTCTCCTGACCTGAGATATGCGGTTCGCTCTTCAGCGTGCGGTGAAGATTCAGAGGAAACGTCTGCGGCGGGTCAGATGGAGACAATTTTGGGCGTTCGCGGCCTTGACCGGATTTTCCGCGCCGTGGCGAAGTGCTGGGCGAGCCAGTTTTCTTTCGTAGCCGTCCAATACAGGAGGTCAGCAGGACTTGTTTATAGGTTTGAGAATCCGCCTTCCACCGATTGAGTTGGGACTCTCGGCGGCTTTGACTTTCTGCGTGGATGAACGCGCAACCACCATACAGCCGAGCTGGTTCTGAAACATTGGTTCAGATGTGGGCATCCTGCGGAGACCCGACGGATAGCTCCGTGTCTCCCGTCATTCCCGGAGGTCTTTCCTTACAGACGCTACGGACAGCCCTTGAAGGTCCCCATGTGCGTTGTCGTTCAGGAAATGGTAGCGTCTGAGGTTGCCGGCGTCATGTTCACCGTTGAACCTGTATCGGGAGACCCGCACAAGATCATCATTACAGCAAATTTTGGTCTTGGAGAGGTTCGTCCGATTCTCAAATGCGGGACCAGCAGAGTATTTGAAGACGAATGTCCTGCTCGATCCGACTCCGCTATCATGCAGGATATTCGTCCTCCCCGGAGGCAAAGAATACCAATTCTGAAGCCGAGTAATTCGCAGAGCGTGGTTTCCGCGACCGCCGATCCCGACACCTTTGTCCTCCGGAAAGTTTGTGGAGACGTCGAGTTTGTCGAACAGAATCTTGGCGAAAAAAAGCTCTCCATCATAATGTCAGGTCGGATCGGTGCGCTTCCCTAGTCTCAATGCAATCTTCAAAGATCGATCGGGATCTCCCACGCAGAGCTCACACTTTTGCTTTGCAGACAGTGGAGGGACTGAAAACCTGGACGGACATTCGAGACGGAACGAGGCTTGCCTGAACATTGATCAAATCCTGCTCCTTGGTAGAACAGCCCTCGCTTTGGAGAAGGGCTATGCCTCTCCGAGAGACACCGAGTGGGCCTTCTGTAACGTGAGCGTTGTAGCTCTCAGAGTTCCCCAGAGAATCGAGAACGCGCTCCAGCGAATTTGGTCCGATTCGCTCGCCCCATGTTGGAATTTAGGATGATGGAACGTAGAATTCGACTTACAGAATGTGTTGTTCATGCTGCAAGCTCGGCCAGTAACGTCGCTGGATCAGATTGACACCGATTTCGAATACTTGCACGAGTCTGACTCTGGGATGGATTCAGAGATCGACGCACTTTCGAAAGCCAACGTAGGGTATGCACCCATCTTTTTTTTCACGTTTTGACGATGTCTGGGGAAAAAATCGCTCGGAACCCCCTTCAAGTGATTAATTCGATCCCTCTTCCCAACAGAGAAGTATTCGGTGGCAGCATGTCGACACTGTCTCTGGACGTCTTGCGAGCCTCGCTCACCTTCCTCCGGGTGAGACAAAATTACATACTTGGATTGGTATAATTCGATCTCTCATGTGCACTAGAGTGAGCCCAATCTCTTGAGAGCCTAGCTGTGTGGCGTTCGAAGGTCTTGCCTGCCTAAATTTCTTGGAATTTATTGCTCCTGTCTTCCGGAGACCGCTCGGGTATCGTTTTGCGAGGGTCCGACTCGCTAAGCGAACTCCTCTGATGGGATTGTCTTTTTCGCACATCCAAGACCTAGATGTTCATCTGCGTCGCTTGCTCCGCACTTCACGCATGTAAAATCGATACCAGGGTCACAGTTTGGTCGCCTCTTCCCAATGCTGAAATTCGTGTGCTGTGACTGGGAGTGGGCTGCCGCGAGATGGATTCGGAGTGAAATTCGAGTATTGTCGAGTTTAAGTTTGAGCCCTCTCGCGTCGTTGTGTCAACGGCAGAGGCCTCTCTGGCTATCTTAGGGGACCCCGGATCGCATCAAGTTCCCAGTTGGTTGAGTTTCTGAATTGACTCGATATTGGTGTGCATTGGTCTTCCCGGCCGCCTGGCGGATATCTTTCAGTCATCTGCTCATGGCAATACACCTCATTCTCCCAGAAGACGTCAGGTGCTGGTCCTGGTGCTCTGTCTGAAGTCACAAAATCTATAGCCGAGTTGGCCTCCAGTCGACTCTGACGCTATCGTGGGTTGAACCTCACCAGTGAGGCGAGGCATTCGAGGCCGAAGAACTATTGGACTAAACTACACTCATTTTTACCAGATCGTCGCTCAAACATGGAACGGAGAAGAAGAATTCACCTATGCCAAGGTCTTGTTCCTACACAATTACTACAGCCAATGCTTCTTCCCAACCTACTGGGTACGTGTGTATGAGCAGCACGGCGCGGAAGCCTTAAAATCGAGATACTAAGTTGGCTTTCATACCCACTTCTTCCCGAATCGAATAGCCCAATCTCGTGGATTACACTGCGAATGATCTGATGTCACGGTGTTTCACTATCGCGATGGCGGGCCGTCCCATCGACGATGAGTGTGTTATCATCTCAAATCGGAACAAAAGACGCTACCAATTCGGCGGGAGCAACGGTGAAGGCTCACTCCAGTCAATATTGGTAAAACCTAGCGAGACCTAAATATGCAGATTCTTGCTGTGCCTCCTTGTCGATAACGCTCCACGTTGTCAAAATCGCTTCGAAAAACGCCGGGACCTAATTCTCGCGGTCTGAATAGAAATTCTGGAGGAGCGAAGCTAAGCTTCGGAAGAACCAGGCGAAGTTCAAGGATTTCTCGTTCCGATCATCGCCGGAGAGTTCCTGGGAGCTTTTCAATCTGATTCTTGACGAGTTGAGCGTTCTGGAAGAAGTAAGTGAACACTGCCGATGGCTCATTGATCGTCCAGCCTGGCCTCTTTCTGCTTCTTCCCCCTCTATGAGCGGTGATTTCTCGCTGACCGCTCAAGTTTATGAACGCTGCTCAGCTTGCCTCAAGACCTTCGATAACGTGTATTCGAAATTTTAGGGTTTCGGCACTCACGAGGACCTGATTTTCAACAGTTCTATCAGCAACATGCTAATGCTTTTTATTTTAGCTCGTTGCAATAATGGGGGTGAGTGAGGCCGAGATCAACTGCGAGAGGAAGCGATCTGGCGGAACTGTTCATTGAGAGTCTGTTTCCCCAGAATGGAACAACAAGGTCTACTCGGATTTCGGTAAACTTTCTTCCTCGAGCAAAAACGTCGAGTCGGCTAGCGTTCCGGTCTCCATTAACTTGATGGCACAGGAAATCCAGAAAGAGTTCGGGGATGATTTCGCTAAGATGGACGTCGAGGATGCTCGTCATTTGCTGATTAGCTCGGTCAGATCGCGATCCACCCAGCTCTTCCGCGAGTTCCTGAGGGATCATGGTCATCGGTGTCTGGGAGAGGTTCTGAGTTTCTTCACTGCGATTTCGGGAAGCCCAAAACTCCAAAGTTGTCCTCTGTCGCATAGGGTGGATAAAGATCCGCATTGATTTCATTTATGTCCACCGCAGTTCGACATTCACACAAAATCATGGTCTATGGATCAGACGCCCCTGATAAGAACTTTACAAGCGATGCTCTCGACAAAAGTCGAGTCGGGAGTCCTGCCGACTACAGCGAAGAGCGACGACGACCTGATCAACGGTCTCAGCATCAGAATCCCCTTCTACTACAGGTGAAATTTCTCTGCGGACTTTGTCCGGTAGGGTTTTCCGTGGTTTCGGGAAACTCGTGATTAGGTAACTTCTCTGTATCCGAGGTTGAAGGGAGCTTCTGATTGGTAATGGTCAAATCGCCCCTGACGGTAGTTATTCCGCTTTTCCAGACCATTGCTGAAGCTTTGTTTGAGTCGCGTCCGCAGAGGGATCGTCCTGCGTGAGGAAGGCAAATCATTATGCATCAAAACGAATGATATCCTCCGCAAACGCTTCTGGGAGTTGGGCGAACTTATGGTACCTGATTCTTATATGACATGCGCAGCGATCGTTCTCGGGATCGCAGAGAGTGAGGCGTGTTGTCCATACTCAATCGCAATACTCAAACTCGAAAGGAATCTGTCTCCAGGTGAGAGAAGGTCGGCTGCCGGAGGAGGATCTCTTGTTCCATCTGAGCTTGACGGAAATATGCGAGCTGTTGAGAGACAGATCGCCTAAGCTCTTGATACGCGCCATCCATCGAAGAAGAAATCAAAAAACGGCGGCTTCTGCGATTTACCCCGAGCATTGTGCTGGATTGCCTCTTGAAGCGGTGGGCATGAATCTAGATAATCGGAGTTACGCTCATCGGAGCCGGAGCGTCCAACATAATATAGGAGCTGGCTGACATTTTCGACATCGCCAGCTCAACAAACAGCAGAGCTCGAGTTTTGCGGCCGCGAAAGAGCTCCGTGGAACACCTGTTCGTGAGGGCGTCGTGAGGGCACCAGCAAGAGTTATTCTTACCTTGGGAGAAGCGGATCAAATCCAGAAGGTCTGTCAACTCTCTCTCTGGTGGTCGAGAATAGCTCAGGTTGTCAGGAAATACTCTTTCAGGCGGTCGCTCATCGCTGACAGCAGCGCAACTGCGCCTCCTTGTCAATTATAGACTCGCTCTAAATTTCGATACATATGCGATTCCAGGGAGACATTCTGGTCACGTACGCGACTGATATTGGATGGTCACCGTATTTTTCGCTGCTATCTGGCATCGTAACTGAACTCGGTGGTCTCATATCGCACGGTAATTTACCTCGACAGGGAGACCGATGCTGGTCGGAGCTCTCATGCATGACGTCGGTCGATTTTCCGATCTTTGGAGTGGAATCACTTACTAAACACTTCGTATTTACAGGAGCTGTCATAGCCCGGGAGTACGGTCTTCCATGTATAGTGGGTGTTCAAGGTGCGACGAGAGCCTTCTCGTCAGGGCAGGAGGTTGTTCTTGACGGCTCGAGAGGAACGATCGCACTTGTATCGGTAGCGGGTGAAATTGACTCACATGAACCTTGAGGGCGCTCCCTAGAGATCGAGGCCCGCAGTAATCGGCCAGGGGAGCCCGATTATACCTCCTCAAAAAACTAGTTCCATGTCCGAGTGCTCATGTTCACATACCCACGGATGGAGAGATAGTCTTTCCCACCAGGAGGAGCGATGGGGTCCTACGATGTCAGACCATCGCGCAGTGCTTGCTCGGAACATCCCCCGCGAAGCTATTAAGACTGTCAGGGATGCGTACCGTGATCTCGGTACTTTTTGAGACGACGGCCTCCGTTTTTCGAACAAGCTCGATTGCTCCCTGAGGGTATGCGAGGAGGTTGTTCCTGAGCGCTCCCTGCGTAAGACTTGGGAATTAGATCGAGTATTATTATCGAGTATTCTCTGCTTCTGTTCGAGAGGGCCACACCCCGGTACGCCATTCTTCCCTTGGATATGCTCGGCTTCGTACAGAACAAATAGAACCTCATCTAAAGGCTGATCCGCGCTCTGATGCGGATCAATTCTGCCAGCATATTCGAAGCAGCTACACTGTGGGTATCGGGCTCTCCTCCGAGTGGGGAGTTTGTGAGAGATATATGTATGGATGCGGGACAGATTTTTCTCACCCGATCCTATACCCGTAGTGCTCAATGTTTGAAAGTGACCCAGATGAGGCTCCGCATCGGATGCTTCCGCGTATTTGATAAGAGATTTTCGATTGAATAAAGATCAGTTCGTGCGGTGGAGCACACGAGAGAATATTCCGGACTGAGCTACTTGATCAAAGCCGAGGTCATATCCAGCCGAAGTAGCCGCGCGAGAGCATTGAGCGGAGAGTCTACGAGAGCTCTAGCTTCAGATGGAAATCGTAATCGGTGACGGCGAATTCCGTCAAATGAGTGAGCAGGAGGGTTTCACACACGGTTTTCCTATGTGGGACACGGGAGGCGCTCTTAGTTTCTCCGCGAAATTCTCCGTGCTCCGTGATATCTCCCATCCTCTCGAATTTTATGTCCGCCTGTCCATCCCATCCTTCCTTTCTGATCATTCTCCCCCGTCCGCAAGCTCTCTCTGCTCATCGCATTCAAATGTGTCAGAGATCTTTGATGTATAAGAACGACAGGAAGACTACGGAAATAAAATACATATCTTGGCCTTTATTTTTAAATTATGCGGTACTCGATATTAAAGCTCTATATTCCAACATTTCTTTGTTTTCTTAAAAGCACAATCCCGACCACAGAGATTATTATCTACAGATATAATGAATCTGCGAACACGCTCATTGACTTGCTGCATTTGATACAAAGGTAGGAGTTATAGGCCATCCCGAGAGTTGTCTACCTATGTGTCGAACAAGGTTCCGAGAGGAGGGAGCATTGGCTTTCCATTTTCCCCTCCCACGAATTTGAAGACGCATTGAACCAGGAAAACTCGGCTGCATCTCGACCGCTTTCGCCGCCCTCGAACGTGACCGAACATTCCCACTGAAGGTGGAGGCTCGGACTTCACTCGAAGGACTGGTTCTAGCAAATACATTCTACCAATAACATCGAATCCCGACATCTCTGACTCATTGATTCTGAATGAGATTTCCTTGCTGTCCAAACTTGAACTTAAGGTACGGATCGTTCTTGCTCGCTCGACTGAAATTATTTTATTTACACACACACGACCACATTCCTGTGTGATGGCATCTTGAGAAACTCTGCAAGGTATCCACTACTAAGCTTTCCGGGGATGTAGGCGAGCTAATAAAGATAATCAAATTTCAACACACATCCCAGGCTATAGTTCTCATAGTTGTGGCACGTTTTTCAATATGATTCCCCCTTGAGCTCTGCTTCCCCGTTGACGAACACGGCACGAGAAAGATTGCACCGATTCCCTATGGAATTCTATTTCCAGGGCTCCTTTGGGGCGGGAGCTGGAGCCATGATCCGTTTGAACTCTATGTGCTTCACCATCTGATGATCCCCAGGCTTCTCCATTCGCACGCCGGGAGTAGTTTCCCGATGTCCGAAGCGGCAGCGACATGGGTCGTGTTTGTCCAGGAAATGAGCCAGCGTGTCCCAGCCACCGCCGACGCGAACCATGATATGTTTGCGGAGAATCTGAGAATAAAATAAGACTCATATCGAGTTCGCTCGGAGAGATGGGCGCTGCCGGTGCGAGAGTAGGAGATCTCCGATGACCGGAAGCTGATCTAAATGTTCCCGTTTCCACTTACCCTGACAAAAATGAGCATCTTCGATTCCCCGATCCTGTACTGTCCCTCTCGGACTCTGATCATGGGAAATTGCGTGGGGCAGGTACATTGAGCGAGCAGCTCCACCACCTGAGGGTTAGGGTCAAAAGTCAGCTGCAGGAATGCCTCGCGGTAAATTCGTCACGCAGGGAATGACACAAAGAAACCGCCGCGGAGCATACGCGATCATATCACTAACCCGTTCATGAAGCGTTCGCAGATCGTTTGTGACTGTTTGTACGTTGGGCAAAGGCGACTGGAGCGAGTTCGGAGGAGAACACTGACCGTTGGCAGTCTTGTTCTCATTGTTGACTTTGGTCGGTGTTGACCGTCCGGAACTTGCATTCGACTCAGGGGACGAAGTGCGGTTGGCGAGTTGAGAATCAATTTCAAACTCCATCTTGACCAAGACTGGAGCTTTCATTCCTGCAAAGGGTCGCATTGTTGGGAGAGGTTCCGGTTCAGTTTTCGAAATCACAACATTCGGTGACTTCTCGTCTATCCACAGAAATAATTCTGTGACTGATAGCATCCATCCATCGAGTCTCACCGAAGTGGAAGCCGTGCCGCGCGACTTCGAGAAGGCACAAGATTACTGATTTCTCATTTTTGCGAAGAACGAGATCATCTGTTTCAAAACGGAGACACTCGTTTATGTGTAGGTCGTTGCAGAATTCGATGAAATGAGATATGTTGTCTCGCGCAATCCATGAGCCTGAAAGCGAGGGGAAGTTGAGATTTACGGCGGAAGTCTCCTGGCTTGGGACTCTCTGATCGAATCCCGCTCTCCATGGGAAGCATATCATTCCCCGCGGACTTCCCATCCCGACACCTCACATACCTGGTTGCACGTTTTTCTTGTAGGTGAATCTTCGGAACTGTCTTGCCTTGAGATCCTTGAAGGTTGGGCTGCCGTTGAGCTTGGTGACCTTTGTTACTTTTACGACTTTCATATTTTCGGCGCTGTCGATTATGTTGTTCGCGTGTCTGCATAGAATGACACCATCTTCGAGCTTATCGAAGAAGTTGAACGCATCCATGTCGACCTGGTACATGTCATTGAACCATTCAGCCAAATCTTCCTGAAAGTCCAAGTGAAGCCGTGACTGGGTGGCAATTCTCTTCAATTCGGAACCGGATTTCGAGACACTTCGACTCGCCTACTCACCTTCATGGCCCACAAATATTCATCTGACGATTTGAATGGTTTCAAACTCCTAGTGTCCACCTTGATCGCCCCCAAACTCACGGCGATATCGGTCGACATGTTCGTTGCAGGAGACCGACCTAACTTTTCAATCAAAATCAAGCAACCTGTAATTCAAGGAGGCCGTCTGAGTATCATATTGATATTCCAGTTTCTAGGCTCTAGATACGAGTATTACGCTTCAATGAATGACGAAAGGCTACAGAATTAGAGTTCCGTAATTGAGCTCGGATGCCTAGCTCTCACCAAAGGAACCGCACAGAGGATTGAGTGGCTTCAACTACCTAAAATTTTTTATGATCATATCATCATCACATGATGTCTCGAAACTATTTTCGGTTCCCTAAGTTCGTTCGGAGGAAGGATGGCAGATTCTTAGCATGGAAGACATCACAGGAGAACGAAACGCTTGACTGTTCTCGGGATCGTATGTCTGCACTCGAACTGTTGACTGTAGCAGGGAAACAGCACCCGAAATCCGGAACTGCTCGATTTCTCAGCTCGGTCTGAGCGCACTCGATCGAAGCCGAAACCAATCGAACCGACTCATCGATAATGAATTCGATTACTTTTCATGCATCGTATCGAGTGGGTGAATTCGAAGACTCTTTTAGAGAAGAATTCTGGCGCGATCTTCTTCTGGGGACCTTGGTGTAATCCAATATAAGGGTCTCCCGCCCACCAGCTACCGCTGGAAAGCGAGCAATTGAGAGACTCTGTCTCGAGCTGCGTCGGTGAAAACCAAGAATGAGGACTCTGAGCGAGAAGAGAAACGACGGCAGACATTCTGTTTCGGTCAATCGGCAGTTTTTGGAGAAATTCAAATCAAATTCCGATGCTGGCAGAAGCTGTTGCCATCGAGAGTGAGACGTGGGCGACGGCTGTGGAGCTCGCTGTCGGTACTTGCCGGTACGGTGTCGCCTCGCCAAAAACGTGCCACATGAGCCAATATGAGCGCTTTCGAGATAATTCGAGAAAGCTCCCTATCAACGTCGATCTTCTTTCTATCTCGTTCGTACTCCCCAACGAGTCAATGCGATAAAATTCAAAGGAATCGTATCTCGAGTAGATTTTGCGATAGCACCCACCCACTCAAACGACGGTCTTATCTGGAGGATATTCTTCAGGCGTTTCCACATATCATGGCAGAACACATTCCAGTCCGAGACGACCTCACACGGATCCCTTCAGAATTCCCTTGGGAAGGGGTTTGCCATGCAGATTTCCGATTGTCTTCTCGCTACCGAGAGGGGCTCCACTCGTTCACAATAACTTCATTGTGTAAGACGTCGTGGTTTTGGACGACAGCGCAGCTTATGCATTCATTCAATAAACGGAACAAGAGCTGCTTTGTTCTCCCTGATCCGTCGTCCAGAAAGACTTCAGCTCGGCGTTCAAGCTTCAGGTTGCCGTTCCAGTGTGGAAATTATGATTCAGGTCAACAGCATCAGCGTCACAATTACTCACTGAGCTGAGACCCGAACCCTGTTTGCTAAGGTTCAGCCAATCCCTTACCAGGGAAGCTTCGCTCGCAGGCTTACAATTAGTCATGAGGGACATCATTACTTTCTTGCTCATTCTTATTTGAGCGCAAATTTTCGATTGTCCCCTCAGCACTCCCGAGTCAGCGGCTTGCGTGCGTTCTCGGTGCTCATAGAGTTGGCTCCTTTTTGAGCATTCAGGACTCCGCTGCGTCAGTCATTCTCACGACGCATCTACGGTGCTGATGATGTCAAGAAAGTGTCGAGCCTGGCCGACGAAAGACTGATCGTCGCCGGTCCGTCAGACGAAACAGTCTGTCAAGCAGCTCGCGAAAGTACGAAGCCACACCCGTGAGGCCCCTGCCATACCCCCATTGGCAAGAAGGTTAAAGGTCGCATCCAGAGGGCTAACCTTGACCTAAGCTCGAAGATAAGCTCACGTTGTCCAGAAAATTATCATCTGCTCGGCACATGAAGACCTAGCAGACAGGCGCAGGGCAGGTGAGCAGGCACCAAGGGTCGCGTGCTCTGGTCACGTGACTGGCGACGTTGAGTTCGCACGGAGCAGAGTCATAATGACTCACACAAGCTCTTTTTCTATCTTGTCAACGAGAGCAAGATCGCATCGAACCGAATCGGCTTCTTGCCTCCCGAAATCCCATTTCCTCCTCATTCCGTCGATCACTTCAGTTTCCAGTGAGCATTGAGTTTCCAGGATTCAGTGACAAGGGGGGATGCCCGTCCTCATTTTTGCTTCGGCCGGTCCCAGTTCGGCGCTCTGGATGTTCGCCGCATCCTCGAGCATCTCCTGATGTCTAACGCTGGATCCCCCGCTCCAAAAAGCCTGGTTACGAGTTACAGCAGCCGCGAGTTGGTAATAGGGCGAATGATCCCTAGCTGTCAAGCGTGCGGCGGGTTGTACGCTTTGGAATTCATTCCGAAAGCATTTCGCAATTTACTGACGACCTCTTGGGGCCAGCAAAGGTGGAAAAATCGGACGGGAAGCAAAAATTGTCGTCGTGACCGATTCGATGGATATCTCCAGATGCAGATAGCTAGCTGAATTACATCTCTGAAGGTCACAGCCATTGAACATCGGCCCATCACAAGCGGCCGGCCGAGCTATCGTTGAAGTCACTGCTGTTGTTGTGACTGTATATCTATTGTTGCCATTGCTACTGCCGTTGCGGCGGTGGCAAGACGTAAAATTCACCGTGAGCAATAAACAGCGCGCTTCAGAACAACGTTTTGAGCAAACAGTCCCGTATGCCTCCACGGTCACTGCCGCCGCGACAGCAACCGCGGCCCATGATACGACTCGGTCGGCCTGCGTAAGCTGTGGACAGGACCCGTTCCAGGAGAGGGAGTTTCACATATTATACAAAATAGCGCTCGGGGTCATACTCATTTCAGCTCGCCGCTGTGTATGTTCTCAGGAAATCCTCCAATTGACATCCCGAGAATGACTCCCTTCTCGACGGTCGGTCGGGAAAGGAGAAATTCCGCTGTTCAGAGAGTGGCCGCCACAAGGAGACCTCAATCAGCCCAATCGGCTCGGAGTCCCCGATAGGGATAAGCCCTGGTGCGGAACCTCGATCTTCTACAGTTTTTTTTCGGTACCCATCCCTGCCGCGCTCCCAGTCCGATCCATTCAGGAGCCCGCGATGATGAACCTCGATTCTCTACCCGCTGTTTTGTCCCTTAGAGACAGGCATCGCTCCTTGGGAATTTCTCGAAAAATTGAGGGCCAAGTCGATCGTTCTCGAGGAAGTCGATTGCGATCTGCGGAACAGCTTTCCTCGCCATCGTAGCCCAAGCTAGAAAATCGATTTTGACTCAGATTCGAAGTAGCTTATTGATACAAGGTTGGGCACGCTGGCGGCCATGAAGACACGGATGACCCGATTGGTCTCCGTTCACGGCTGAGCAAATGTCATCAGTCGTTCGATTCCGCATGGGTCTATAAGAGGGGAGACCTTGCACTCGGGGGGTTTCTGAGCCAGGGTTTCCTTCTTCCTAACTCCTTGAGGGACAATTCGGGATAAATTAATATTTTCTGGACCGACCTCGAAATTCGTATGATAATCCGAGTGTTTTTATCTCTATTTGGTCCCAGTTCTCACATGGAGCTGGCGTCTCGAGAGTGCATGCAGAACGCTGGCCGGAAGCGACGCCTACGTGAAAGTCCAGATTTCTCGATCGCATCGCGGGCGACTCTCCATTTTATCTGCGAGCTGGGATCCGCGATTGTGTCTGCGACATACTCCCGTCCCGAAGAGGAACTCTCGAGGGAATCCCATTGACAACGAGTTCGCGAGAATCGGGTAGGGGATACGAAGCTTCCACAATCCCTCCGACCGCAATATACACTTTGACTGTTCCCCTCGTCCTCTCCGATCCTTTCCCTAGAGTGTCGCTCCACTCTCTGGCAACGCATTGTTTTTGCTTCTCGTGAGTTTTTAGATGAGCTGGACACGCACTCTGGAATCTCGAGTCGATCTTACCAAGAGGCCCCTCTCGGCTCAGAGACGCTGCTACTGATGATGAGAAGAGAACCAAAGAGATTTTCATGATGATCGTCATCATCATCGCCCGCATCAAGAAGATATATCGTTCGAGAAAATGGATAAACTCCACGTCGAGCAGAAAAATGAGGGTCTGCCGACGCGACCAGAGCAGGCCTCGCTCACGTCTTAATAGAGCCAACAACAACAACGAGAGGGAAATGATGTCAGGAGAAGAGCGTCAGGAAGATTCACTGCTCCTACTGAAATAAACAGTCTCCTTCGTCCTCGATCGCTCCACAACCTCCTGCCTTCCTTCATCTAACCAAGTGAACTCGATGAAATTCAAAACCCTTGCCATACATCTTTTTGCTCACATTAGAGATAGTAAGATCGCGTAGATTCAGAGCTTGACACCCACGCTCAGCGGCTTGACCAGGCGACCCTCGCTGGGTCGATATTTTCTGACACTTCTTTTGGAAAACTTTCGGAGCTGTTCCAGAGCGAGCTACTCGTCTTGTTTTGTTTACCCGTATGACACACTACAAACAATCCCTAGAGGAACATTTCCGAATCGTGAGCCTGGTTAGTTCCTAAAACTGATGCGACGCTTTTTTTTGGTTCGAATGCTTGACGGGAGCCTTGTTCGACAGGAGTTGATCGATCCAGAGTCCCAGGAAGCAAGAAGGCACGAGGCTCTTGGGAAGCGACTAACTAGAGGCTATGACTGATAGTGTGAGAGTTCACCTCCAGACAAATGACTAGCGCTGCTCCGGTGGCTTGACTTATATGGTTATATTGTTTTTAGGCGGGCGTCACATTAACCATCCGTCTTTTCCGCGTTCGCCTGTTCGACCAATCCATTGAGGCACCGATGTGTCGCCAGGCAAGCTCAGCAGCCAGTCTCGAGCGGTTCTCGGCTTAATTCGCAAACGATAGAGACGAGGCAAGAAATATATTGTTAAGAGCGTGAGAAGTCGGAACCCGGGAAATGAGACTACCGCGAGCTCCGTCCGCGTGTGGATTCGACTGCGACATCCTCGATGGAAGTTGTCAGGGTCGAGTAATCTGCGCT